CTAGCTGCCGCGCTGAGTCTTGAATTGGCACAAGCTTGAATTCAGGGTTGACCATTGGTTTGGGTCCCAGTGACGGAATGGTCTACGAGCTAGCTCACCTTGTAACCAGAAGGTCCTGGGTCTGAACCTGGATGATGGCTGCGTACTGGTGAAGAGTCCGTATACGCAGGCTGTGCAGTATACCAGAACTAGTTTTCCAATGGTTCCCTAACCGATGTCAGCTCATGATGAAATCCTGTAACCAAAAAACAACAACAGTTATCTTCCTCTTCTAAAGACGTAAGTGATATGCTCACTATTCTGAACTTCATTCATTCGATTCAAACAGATCACGTCTTCTAATTGCTTTGTCTAAATTCATAAGGGGCAACTAATTGTTTCAGGATAATTACATCAAGTCAACAGAAGTTAATCAGTATTGTGTTCACAACACAGATATTTAGCTTGAAGTAGAGGGAAGGAACAATGAGAATGATGGAAATGCTTGCACCGTTATGTACAGGCACACGCGCTGCAACATATTAACACACACACACACATGAAATGAATTAAGCTGTACAACTTATGAGTCTTTCGATATTTGTGACCCTATTCAAATAAGCCATAAACAATGCTTCCAATGCAGGGAAGCATATACGGGAGTTGTTGAAACCATGAGAAGTACAGGCATAGAAGAAACGCCTTTTAAACAACATCACGTCATCTGTTGGAGAACACATCCAAGTGAATTAGATTCTACATCATAAAATGTGACATACTCGCCTCTCTCTCTCAATCATACCTTCAAATCACCTTTCATTTGTAAACAAATGCCCTTTCCTCCAACTGAGCAGTCACCGAAAGTGATTAAATTTTAAGTGACCCCATGTGATATTATAACTCAGCGTTTGAAGTGTACACAAACATCTTAACTTTTATTACATTTATTCAAGTACAGCTCATCGTTTCAAGAATAACAGTCAATCATGTGATGACAACGATGACGATGACGGTTAGAAAATAATTATATAAACGCAGGGATTAGACATTCCCTTTCAAACATTGTGAGGCGGAGAAATATGATGATGCTCTCAGTGCAGTTTGTTATCCTGTTAGTATCCCGATTGGCTCTGGCTGATTGGGATGCATATACGGCTAAAATATTCAAAATGCACAATGAATATCGTCAACAGTTGCTTGACTGTAAAGTGGATGGACAACCAGCAGCTACGCGGATGCCTCAACTTGTAAGTTCATTTTTTTTGGTTGTGTTTGTTTTCCTCAGTAATTTGTATTTGTATTCCATTTGATGTGTTAGGACAAATAAGGTCGCTTATAGCTTTAGTGACTTAAAAAACATCCTCTGTAAGGAGAATTTAGAATTTAATATGTGGATTGCCATCACTTTGGTAGTTTGAAGCAGTTCGAGTCGTAGTCGTTTAGAAAGATTATCGTGTAGTGTGTACTTACTATAGACGGTCAACTGTTCCAGGATACATCTACGGAAGGATCTTTTTTCTCCTTTATAAAACCGCGAGAGTAGGTGTTCTAGGTTTAATTCTAACAACAAACGCTGAGCATAAATAACATACCTAGCTCCACAAAATCAGGTGAATAGTTAGATAAACACTGGTAAGGTGAGCAATGGTAGATTATCCTTTCAATTGCATACGAATCATTGGTTATATGAAGGAAGTAAGTTGGAGTTCAGCTGACCAGTTTAGGCGGTTTCTTGCTGTTTCTACCGATAAGTCTCCGCTGAAGTATAGATTCAGACAAAGAGGTTTTTGAGAAGGGATGTGTTCATATTTTAATGAGTGTCGGCGTCAAAGAATCGACTGTGTTGAGTTCAAGGTATTGTCTTGTCCAAATCACAACTTATCACAAAAACTGAACTTCAAATCCGCCTGGTTTACCTTTTTTAAACAATGCACCGATAAATGCATGTATTAAAACAAGACATAGAAGCGAACAATATTGTTTTCAATTAGATCTTCTTCAGGCTTTACTCTAATTTCCTTAGATGTATCATTACTGTTTACCAATGTACCACTTATGGGGACTGTGGAATTCGTATGTCAGCAGATACTAGAAAAACAGATCGACATCGGAATATCGGTTAGTAGTCTAAAAGAGCTGCTTTTAAGATAGCCAATGTTAGCAGATTTCTTTCTTGCCAAGATTGAAAATGGTCCATTGAAAAAAGTAATAGAAAAAACTGATTCTTATTTTCGTTATGTTGATGATACCTTTATTATTCTTGATGTGAAAGCTGACAAGAATGAAATGTTAAAAAAGTTTAATGATGTACATCCATCGCTCATCTTCACTTGTGAAGAAGAATATGATGGTGGACTATATTTCCTTGACGTCCAATTGAGCAGAAGAGAGGATGGTTCACTCAAGAGAGATGTCTATAGAAAACCTACATCTATAGGACAATATACACATTTCCTCAGTTTTGTACCAATCCGATATAAAATCAATTTGGTCAGATGCCTGACGAATACAGCAAGACGTATCTGTACAGGTGACTCCCTAGAAATTGAGCTAGGATACATCCAAAATACGTTGGTCCAAATGGGTTATCCTAGTAATTTCTAAGGAGTTACATGAATACCAAGTACAATAAAGAAAAACCGACAACACTTAAAAAGAAACAACTGTTCATCAAACTGCAATTTAATGGGGAAGTGGCTAGTGAAGTCTTACATCACAGATTATCGAGAGCGATAAAACGGACCTATACTACTGCCACCCTCTGTTTGTCATTTTCCAGCCGGCCAATTTTGATTGCTCAAGTGAAAGATAAGTTGCCTAGTTGTGCCACTTCCATTTGTATCTATAAATTTAGTTGCTCCTGTGGAGAAAGCTATATAGGCCAAACAACTAGACAACGTAACAAACGCATTAATGAGCATCTTCCTTCATGGTTCGGAAAAGGTCAAATGAAATCCATACGAAGTTCTATTTTGGCTCATTTGATTGATAGTGGTCACCAAGTGGACAAAAATATTGCCTTCAAAGTTATTTACCGCATTCCATCGAGCCTTTCGAACGGAATCGGAATCCGTCTTTTATACTTAGCCCAAGCTATGGGAATCGGAGAGAACAATCCTAGACTTTGTATACAAAAGAATTTGTTCTCTTTTTGTCTCTCCCATGGCCTAGGTGAATTCGATTCCAGACCCTCCCACCCTTTCTTATCATCCATCTCCTTCGTACTTTTAGGATATTTATTTAAACTGTGATTATCGTTCCATTTGATTTAACCTAATTTATTTATTTATTGAATTCGAATAAGGCATTAAGAAGACAAATTTCGCGAGATGATTTCGTCATTTCGTAGTTTCTTTACAACCGCTTTACAACTAACATGGTTAACAATGATAAAATAAAGTTCATGAAAATTACTCAGTTAAATAAAAAACATAAAAGTACATACTAATGACCAATCATATTTAAATAGGTCATGTAGTCAGTTCATGGTAGGCGAAGATTGAAGTCTATTGATTCTTGTCCACACAGTTTAGGCGCTATGTGAATAATCCAAAGTGCTTCCATCACCTTCAATAACCTTGAGTTAGAGTTATGTGAAATAATTGTGAAACAGTGATTAATATTGATTTTGTGACCTGACATTAATCAGTGTTTTGCAATGGATGATGCTGGATTTCTACTAGGATTAATCGCGTTAGGATTTTCGATATGATTTACTAGCCATTTTGGAACATGTTCTTTTCGACGACATTGGAACATTCTGTTAGTTCTACCTATATAGGTGTCACCGCAGCTGCAGGTGAACTTGTAGATACAGTTTGAAGTAGAGTCCACAGAATTTCGTCCTTTAATCGTAGGTACAGGGATCGAAAATGTTCGGCAAGTGAGAAAAAGAGATTCGGTGGCGTAGAATGTGCGTTTGATGGCTGACCGAAGTCTCTGAGCCAGCTGTCAACTGCATAATCTGGTCGCCCTTGAATGGTAGATTAATAAAGATGGCTTTCTTTGGTACAGAAGCTGTCTTTTCAAGATGTGGTCTATCCTTACCGTGACAATTGATGAAGTTTTCTGGATAACCATTGGCTAGTAAAACTGAATGTATATGTCGAAGCTCATCCATCAATGTGTCACTCGTACATATTTTTCGAGCCCTTGAGAACAAACATTTCACCAGGGAACGTTTATACTGGATAGGAACAAAACTGGTAAAATGAAGATATTGTCTACTCCACGTCTGTTTACGAAAAATAGAGCGCTGAATCGTTCCATCATTTCTCCTAGTCATAGTAATATCCAGGAAACCGAGTTTGTTATTGGATTCTAGTTCGGAGGTCACTCAAATATTTGGATGGATATGATTGAATAGGGTGATAAAGTTTTCAATAGATTTGCTATTATTACTAATAATAAGAGTATCATCTACATAACGTTTGTACAGCATAAATTCTCCAAGCATACCTTGCATTTGTTTCTCTAATTTCGACATAAATATATCTGCTAACAGGGGCCCTAGAGGGCTACCCATTGCAACACCATCGATTTGTTTGTATGCTTTTCCTTGGAATGTGAGTCGAATATTTTCTGTACACATTAAGATGATGTCTTTGATGTACGTTACAGGAATAGGTAAGTTTATCCCGTTGCTTGTGATATAGTCGCAAATGAAATCAACAGTTTCATGAAGGGGAACATTGGTGAATAAAGATTCTATGTCAATTGAACACATAAACTTTTCCTTAATATTCAAGGTGTCTAGCATTTCTGTAAGATCAAATAAACTTTTCATAGAATGATTTGATAATGAGTCTCTTACAGGCATAAGGACCTCTGTAATCCATTTGGCGATTTTATGGTAAGGAGAATTGGACATATCTAAGATGAGTCTCAGTGGGTTCCCAGTTTTGTGGATCTTCGGAAGGCCATAAAGCTGAGGAGTATGTGACCCAATTGGTTTAAGTTGTTTATAAAGTTTTTCATTTATAAAACCATGCATCAGTAAAATTTGAAGCTGACGATTGATCAATATTTTGTTATCATTATAAACATCGTTATTAACTTAGTTCAAAACATTTACCACATTACTATTATTATTTGATCCAAAAAATCACCGTCATTGGTTGAAATTTTTTATACATAAGTCTATGTAAATTAGAGTAAAGCCTGAAGAAGAAGATCTAATTGAAAACAAAATTGTTCGCTTATATGTCTTGTTCTAATATTATAGATGGGAATATCTCAAGATTTGAAATGCTGGTATGTTTACTTTAACAACACACTTCGTTTCTCACTGCCCTTCTTCCTCCTCTTAATTACAGGCATGGAATCAAGAACTGGCTAGTCAGGCAAAAGCGCTATCCAAAACCTGTCGATTTGGATTCAATAATCCCACAAGTAGAAAATTTCATCCAGTTGGACAGAATATTGCTGCTTATCAAACTGTTGAACAGTAATCATTCACATAAAACAAAAAGAAACAAACACCCTTAACTCTTTTTGTATTTTAGAGCTATGCAGGAATGGTTCGGTGAACACAAATATTATAACTTTAAAAACAATAAGTGCAGTGACAGCTGTGGAAACTACATGCAGGTGAGTGAGTGTTGTTTGATGGATGAACTTCAGACACAGTACTACTCTTAGTGATTGTTGGCCGAAACTTGTTAGGTGTTTTTCAAAGGGCCTATCTGTCCACCTATCTTCTTCTTTGGACTCCGGATGTATTATGGATTTCTGGAGGAAGACTGTCCCAGTTGTCTCTACACCCTGATGTCGAGTATCTAGAAAATTTAATTTAACTTTCGAATCAGTGATGTTAGAATCCTTTTGATTAACTGTCACTGGAATCTAAAATTTCCTCAGTTTAACCAAGTGTCATCGATGATATTCTGACTAAAATATTGTGTGAATTTATTAGATACGATACGATACTGTTGCGTTTGTAAAGACCATGAGTTATTCAAGCGATCAATATCTTCATGAGGGATTCAACACCATATGAACACTTCAATCTATTCTCTGGAATACTCTTCTATAGCTGAGTTCACAAACGACCAGAACGTTTCATTCCCTCCTCACATGACATCCACGACATCACCCTCCAATCCAATCCAAAACTGAAGTTTCCTATTCGGACTTCAACTAGAAGGCTTCGCCTTGCCTAGATTGCTAGTTCGCTAGATTTTTATTCGATTTCAAGCAACCCAAGAAGAGGGAAAGGTGGGAGTTGAACTAACAACTCAATCTTTGGAAACCTCAAGAAAATCTTTTATTGTAACTCTTGCTGTGTGATGATTTTTTCTTCCAAAATTCACTTTGTTTTCCACCTCGTTCATTTCAGATGGCTTTCGCCAACACCACAGATATTGGATGTGGAGTGACCAAATGTCCATACAGTGAAAACTTTAAATACGGTTTATTCATCGTCTGTAACTATGGCCCAGGGTAATTGTTTGACTGATTTGTACTAATGATTGTTTCTGTTATATTGTGAACTATTCACTTGATTGCCAAATAGTTGAGAGACATACTTCACGAGATCGTTTCAACTGGCAGAAGGGTTCCGACCTCTAGTTCTTTCGTTAATTGTTGATACCTACTCTCAAGATACACATAGGGGCACTGACTAATTTCAAGGTGTTTATTTGCGAGGATTCCATTGATTTCACATTTGATTGCGAAATGAATTCAGTTAGAGAACCTCTTGAAACCAGATAATACATGGAGAGCTGCTCCCTCATTGGGTTGGAACCGTTCATCAGTACGCAACCATCACCTCGGCATGGATCGAACTCCCAGTCACTGTATTCCATTTTTTGACTGAATGGTCTACATGCTCGCCTTTTGACTTGAATACCTTGGGTCTTACAGCTAGAGGGGCGTAAATAGGAAAGGGACAGCTGTCTGGCACCCCCTCTTCCGTTTTCAATGGTTCTCTAACTGAAGTCCCTTGGTGATCAGTATTGACACTCAAATTAAATTTCAAAATCACATCCGGAATCACAAATGCCGATCACATCAGTTCTACTGTTGTTGTCAAAGATTATTCGTTGTAGAAGTAGATTACGTCTGCAAAACAGTCACTTGCTACTGTGTTCCAACTTTCCTCAGCCATGAGAATCCTGTTTCTATTGTCTAATCTTGTCTCCTGACTAGTGCGATCCATTCGTGTCACTTTTAGTCTACATTATTTAAATAAGTGAACGAGACTAGGCGCACAGTACACAGAGCCCTGTAAAATTAGATTCAAGTATGCATAAGGTGTACTCCAGTCTTCGAAATAGTTTAATTTTCACAAATGTTTCACTTGATTGTTTTCTAAATTTCGTTTTCTATTCTCATTCACTTTTTGTTTTACAAATTAACAAACTTTTTAGAGCAAACTTCCATGTGAGACCTTTTGAAGCTAAAAATATCAATGAAGTATGCCCAGTGACAGCTTCTCCATCTGTTCAATCAGGAAGTGGAAAATGGCAAGCTACTAAAGGCACAACGAAATTCAATGGCAGAAATTGTTACTGTTATAAATGAACATACAGAAATATAATGATACTTTCTTGTCTTTGAAAATCTAGTGTGACCTAATAAATGCACTTTCCATATACAGATACTTAATGACTTTTGAATTCAGCCGGTTTTCTCTTTGTGAAGCTTCAATGTGAAATAGTTAGTTACGTGTTGGGTTCGGTTTCGTTGGGTTAGTGAACACTTTGAACCATAAATGCGATATTCTTGGTGATACCAAAGTGCAGCTTCTTTTGTGCAATTACTTCTGATGATAGAATTCAGAATACGTTGTGTAAACAGATAGTGAATGGTACACAAAGTTATCGGATTGACTGAAAGCAGTTTGGCTGTCAGTGATATCGACATCACACATTCAGGCAGCTATGTGTTTATTCTCCTGCCTTGAATGTTACCTTTATGTGGTGGAACTTCTACTTCGCACAGAAAGGAATCTAGAGCTAAGACAAATACATCTAGTCCACGTGAGATTATTTCAAGTTTTTAGACAAAGTTGTAACAAATCTCTGTGCGGAAAGATATCAACGCCATTACTTATTCATTTCGACGTCGGATTCCATTCACTTGCCTGCAACCCATAAGTTGATCGTATATAAATGTACACAGAATTTTGCCATACTTGTTAGGATCAGCATGATTTCTGTTAACAGACATATGCGAATAGACAGTGTTCAGAATTAACCCTTTATCACTTGTTTATTGAGGAGGTGAATGCTTAAACAAATTCACAAACAAACGAATTTAGCGGTCGGATACATCGTAAACCGGGTTGATCAGTCAAGACAACGAGAGGAGAGAAGTTGATGATCATGAGCAATAGTATAGTGAGTTCACGAGAACTCATAGATAAAATAAGAGCTGAATTCAACCGAAGCTAAAAAAATGAGGTTGAGTGTATGTATGCAAAAGATTGTGTAATCATTTAAGACGAAGAGACACTGAGACATTGAGTCATCAGCACAAGGAAAGACTGATCAGTGTGTCTTTCTGAACACATAAGTGAGGTTTTAAAAGTTTGAAAGAGAATTTTTGGGCAAATTTGAGGATAGTTGATTCATACTGTGTACTGACAATCTAGAATGATTTCTTGCTGTCCACTTGGTGGCCAATATAAACCAAAGGTCTGGAAATGGCAGTGTTCAAAATCATTGTTCCCTCAAGACGTAGGCTTTTTGATACATGTTCACAGAATTTGAGATATGCTTTTTTTCTGTTCTCTCAATGCAACTGCTCCAGTAGATACAGGTAAATGTGGGGTATCCATCTAACAATCTTTTATTGCACCAAAAAGTTTATTATTCAATAAACAGGAACCAATTTGGACTCAGAATAGATTCTGGTTAGAGAAGGTTTCAATCCTCTATTGATTATTCGTGCAATATTATCACCTGTAAATATGCTAACCTGATTATCTTTCAGGTTGTAAGCAGATGAAGAGAATCCCTATATCCTTCGGAACAAGCATTCGTTTATGCTTCGTTTAAGTTCATAAGATGGAATAAATATTTGAATATTTTTTAGGTGTTGTTAGGTATGTTCTAACGCGTCAACATCTGACTAGGTTCGAGCACCATTTTGCATTTCTGCATTTGGCTGATAAGACGCACATCACTTTAATCTCGTGGCATCAATCAAGCGTCCGTTTCAAAGGGAATATTTGTTCAAAGAAAGTAGGCGTTTTTCTGGAGAAAAATCCATTCAGCGATTAATTCACGATGATGTACTTACTCCTGTCGTAAACCTGCCCCTAATTCATTTGAATTTTGATACCTCTTATCACTTGTAAATCAACATTTAAAAAATATAACCAACGAAGAAAATTTAAGTTTTGAAATGTTTCAGCTTAACAGGATGGCGCAATTCAATGAATTCATTGTTTTCACAGGCATTGGTAGTGGAGCAGAATTCAGTTCAACCGACTGGAAAATTGTAATCCGAATACGAGAAATGAGAAACGATTCGTTTGTAAAACTGTTTCTGACTTTTATCAACATCTCATCATGTTCTTTAGAGTGAGTGTTTGACACAACATTGTTTTCATAAAGGGATGAGGAAGTTATTGTAAAACCGGTCATCCATATGTCCAAAGCAAATTCAAAGTTAGCAGAGACGTCCTTATCCTCTGGTAATGAACTATCGACATTCAGCGATGCTACCTACATCCATGGCTTTTGGTTTGAATATGGAAATTGTACCATCATAACTTGCTTCCTGTCAAGACAACTAACTTCCCGGACAGTGCCTAAATGAGATAGATATTTGCTGTTATTAATACTATTATTATTCCCTTCGGGGTTCTGGGTGGGATATTGAACTACAGCAGTATGTCTTTCCTTCACTATGTTTTCTGAAATCTTTTCACGATGACTCTACGATTCTCCATAAACATTTGTTTCCCTCTCATAGGATCTCCTCCATGTAATCGTTTGACACATGATATCACTCACTGGTCTCCTCAGAGTATGAGATGGATTCCATGACAAAAAGCCGAGTCGTGGTTGCTTGAGGAATCCTTATAAAAACAGTGTGAGATGAGTCATATTAATGAGTAATTTAGTTATTTCTCAATCTTTTCAGTCGAATTACTGGAATTTGAAGGGTTTTGAGAATTTTCCATGATTATTCACTAGACAATTCGTCTTTTCTATGTTTTCCATCCTATTTATGATTGCTACTTCAGATCTTTATTCGGAGTAGCAATTACTGAATTGTGTTTTATTTATCGGAGCTTATTACAGGCTTCCCTACTTATTTAAGCCAGCATATTGCTTCATTACAGTTTGCTATTTATACGTTAAAAGAGACAGTCAGTAAGAGTTTGTTTAAATCTTCCAACTGCCCTCATTGATGAAGATATTAAGTCTCCAGTTTGTGTATAGAAGTTTCTAAACTAAACTTGTATATCTATTTTATTAATTGTAACATGGTTATCATAAGACGACTTGTGGCCAAGGATACTACTGGCATATCTATTTCATCGAGGCTAATATCTGAATAATTATAAAAATAGCGATCGGGGTTTGGAGTGAGTAGCATTCCAGGAATTTTTGCATTCTAAAATTTGTAAACATTTGCTGCTTTTCCTTTCTTCCCTCATACCAGAATCTTGATTAAAATAGTCGAGGAAAAATATTTTAATTGCTGTGGAAGTTTTTCAGCAGCGAAGACCTATTCTACAACATTCTTTGACAACTCAATAACACATGATTTCAAGGAATCAGCCTGGTTCAGTGAGTGGAGTTTCAATATGGAAACAGTCCTCATTTGGACACTTAGAGGAAAAGAAGATCCTAAGTGTGGTAGCAGCTCTTGTTAGCGAAGCTTCAGTTTTTTGGTGTTAACATCAGCGCCATGATAACACAGCGCCTTAAGAATACAGTTGAAAGAGCCTTCAGTGCGGCAGAGGTACGCTGTCTCTTCACAAACACTTATGTTTTACCTTTAAAAATGAGAATAAATTTCCCAGCTTCACCTCAATAATATATCTACCAGTCTGACTGTTCTGGAAAGCTAGTTACATAACGCAAGTCAGTCATCGTATTTGCGAACATCATCCTACAGCATGGTTAGACAGGGACGGCAGAAAATGGAAGAAGTGTTTTTGAAGCCGTATGTTCCACTCGAAACCTTAGAGAATAATAATTATAATGTAATCGCCACTGTGAATTTTACCACCTTGACTTTCATTATATTTATGTGCTTACCGTGTTATCAGTTTATCAACTTACACACACCTAGTGTCTACTTGAAAAATGTAGGACTGTTGAACAAATCAGGCTAGGTGAATGCAAAACAGTCATATTTAATGGAGAGGGTGAAGATGAACACCTCATTGAAAATAAAAGTAGGCAGTTGGAAAGGAGTTGAAGACCCTGATGAAATACAAAATGGTTACACTGACAAACCGGTTGTGCCACACCACATGTAAATGTCGAAATATAATGCCCTTTATACCCTTTTGCCTTGACATGAAAGCGACTTTGCAAGAGGATGCAAGTGAAGCTACATGGCATGAATTCCTCAGGTGCCTGAGAAGTCAGCTAGTAACCCGCCTGCAATGTCTTCTCGATAATGACGTGCGTGTGGTTTTCTACGATGCATCTGGATAGCTCGACAGCAATTAGGGATTTTACGAGCGCGCATCGAAGTGGCCCGAAGTGACCGTGGGTCATTTTCAGGTTCACTGGCTATTTTAAAGACCGTATAACTTGTATCGGAAAAAGCTTTCCTCCATGATCTTGATGAGAGGTTCTTGAGAATCTAAGCCACGGTGTAATTTGCATATTCACGACTCACAAATACAGGTTTAATCGGTACTGTATGCATCCTTCCTTTCAAAAGGGTTTAAAGCACACATTTACAATGACACTCATTACGACGGTGCTATGGCCATACTACTACTACTACTACTACTAATATTAATAATATTTACTGGCATAGTGCAGTACATGAGGGGTACGAGTTTTCAGGAACCATCATGGGGTTACAAGTAATCGAACCAAATAATTCGATCGTGTTTTCGAGTCGATAGTTGGGATATACATGATGTAAGTAATATATTATTTAGATTTCCGGCACTAAATTATGGATCCGAAAATTTTTAATTGGACGGCTCCAACGCTGTAGCTAGTCTGTGACAGTAAATGCTGCTCAAATTCATTAAGGGGAATAAATGTATGAAATACTGCTCTGTAGTCACATCTAAACATATGGAATTCCATTTTCAAGGATTCATGCCACCATATTCGGCATACTTAATCAAGAATGTTTCGTCTTATTCATTTCGAAACAGTGACCGTCCATATTTTGGTGTATTTAGGGTAGGCAGCATTTCTCTTATTCTTAATAAGCAGTTCACAAATTATCACTCTTACATGCCAGTTTTCTTACTGACTGAACTGACTTTTTTCGCCTTATTCACTTTAGTCAGCGGACACTCAGTCATCTTATAGAGACAGAAGACAAGCGCCAGGCAGCAGATCGTTTGTTGACGAAATTCAAGAGATATGCATAAATTTTTAT